CTCTTCCTGCTGATGCACAGAATCACAGCCTCTGGGATAGGAGTCCCCTGTGTTTTCTTTTTTCAAGCTGAAAGGAAAATAAGGAAGGAGAGACGGGTAAGCAAGAAATGAGAGAGGGAGACAGGCAGAGATACACACAAGAGTTTATTTTTCAGAGCTGATAAATAAAGGCCATGTCTATATAGGAGAGAGAGGCAACACAGGCTTGAGTTCTGGGACTTTTAGGGGGAGGCTCAGGAATCAGAGCCCAATGCAGGCAGTTAAGGGTTGGGTTGGTATGAGGGAGTGGTGAGCCTTTCTCAGAAAGCCGCTAGGGCGGGAAAGAGAAATTTTTTTCTTTAAAATGTTGACTGTGACTTAAGATGGCCATCCAGATGCTAAGCAAGGACCTTATAGTCTGTCGTTTTTGTCTGTTACTGGCCCTTTAAGACCTGGGCCATGATGTGTAGATCTCACCAGATCTTGGCTGCATGGGCCACTTATAGGAATAAACCTGTCTAAGAGGGTTTACTGAAACACAATCTAGCCTTTGAATGTTTTCTTCTGAATTATTAAACAATCTTGACATTAAAGTTGGTCTGTCAGGGGTAAAGTATGAAAGAGATTCTATATGTACAGGCATTTATGCAGTTGCATGATAAGGGGTCTGAACTATCAGAAACTAATTTGAAGGTGCCAAAAGGCACTGCCTCTGGTGTGCAAGGATAGCAGGACACCAGAAGAAAGGGTTAAAAAGATTTAAATCTTTTAAACCCAGTGCTGGCACTCAGCACTGTTACTCATCTGGCCCCAGGAAGCTACAGATCTTCTCAATGTGGTCAAAAACACTAGCCCTAAACTGGAAAAAAAAATCCAAAAAAAGCTGCCTGGGCTATAGAAAAATGGTCAAAGAGAATGTGGCCTCTGCCCTGCCTTCCAGTCCCTTTTGCCCCTGGGGGGTGGAGGTTGATGGTCACAAAAGATGTGGCAGTAGGTTTCAGTACAGTTAGTTTATGATCTGGGGACAGGAATAGTCTCTCCTTTTAAGATCTGATAGGACACCCCATTTGGCCAGGGGATATTCATCACTGGGCAGAGCAATTCTTTCTATAACAGTATCCCATCAAACTGAATGCCTGGGGAGACTGGCAGAATAAATAAATGGACCCAGAAAAGAAACAGACAGAAACTAAGGTCAACCTGTGTTTTGTAGGCAGCCTCTGAAAAAGGATCTTCAAGGAAGCCTAAAGAAAAGGATGGAGGGGCTGGGGTGGTAGCTCAGTGGCAGAACGCTTGCCTAGCACATGTGAGGCCCTGGGTTCAATCCCCAGCACCACATTAAAAATAAATAAACAAAATAAACGTAAAAAAAAAGGAAAGGAAAAGGATGGAAAGGGCCTCCTCCATTGCATATCAATATGCCTAATATAAGAAAAAGGCCAAAAAGGAGCCTCTGGGTAGAAATGACAGTGGGGAAATCACTTAAAGTGGATGACATTTTGATAATGATAAGGGAGATAGGTCAGGCTCAAAAATAACCTGTCTTCCAACCCCTTGAATGCCACAAGGGAGAGAAAAGATTAAGACAATTTTATTGTATATGCTAGATTTTCTTTTTTTTTTTTTTAAGAGAGAGTGAGAGAGGAGAGAGAGATTTTTAATATTTATTTTTTAGTTCTCGGCGGACACAACATCTTTGTTGGTATGTGGTGCTGAGAATCGAACCCGGGCTGCACGCATGCCAGGCGAGCGCGCTACCGCTTGAGCCACATCCCCAGCCCCTATGCTAGATTTTCCAACCCTCTTCTGGGATGAAATTTGTTGTGTAAATTAAATGCACAGATAACATAAGGACTGTTTCAGAATATGAATTTAATAAAGGGTCGAAAACTAGAAAAGATAAAAGGAAGTTATAGGTATGAAAATATATTTTAGCATGGAAAATTAGAAGGTAAAAGAAATGTTTCTGAATGAGAAAGTATTTTGTCTGGTAAAGAAATATTCTTTAGGTAAAGTCCAAGATGAAAGAGGACAAAACTAAGGATGTAAAGTTGTGAATGTCTTAGTAAGTCACAGGTTTGTGGAAGGTAATCTCAGAAAGTTTGTGTTTGTGATTAAATTGGCCATAAGTAGCACAGTCAAAGTTATTTGAACTTTAATGTATTGATAGGAAGTAAAGTCTGAAACATCGATCTGCTCTTATCAAGATAATTTTCTTGTGTTTGTTCGGTTTTATTACTTGAGGAAACTAAGTCTTAAAGGAATTAGGGTTTGTACCTGTGTTAAAGTCTTAAATGATTACTTTGTAACTGGTTAAACAAACAACTGTTACTTAGGTTAAAAAAATATAGTTGACACCCTAAATATATGTGACTAGGTATATATATGCATCTGAGAACTATCAGTCTAAGCCTTGTCTAAGTGTTATGGAAAAGTTTATAAAATGAAAATTTACTGGCAAGATAACTAATAAGTGATCTCTTTTATATATTGTTTCTGACATAGAAGGGCCACACTGCCATTTGAAGACCTGTCTTATATCTGTTTGTTTTGACTAAGTCAATTTCTGATTATTAACACTGTTTCCTAAATGTATAAGATATTTAAGGCTATCCATTGACTTTTTAAAAATATTTATTTTTTTAGTTGTAGTTGGACACAATACCTTTATATCATTCATTTATTTGTATGTGGTGCTGAGGATCAAACCCAGGTCCCCGCACGTGCTAAGCAAATACTCTACTGCTAAGCCACAATCCCAGCCCCTATCCATTGATTTTTGCATTGATTATTGTTACCGTACACTATAGATTCTAAATTTTACTTTAAAAGTTAAACTTAGTTAAATGTAAAGCTTAGGGGAGAGCACTTTATCAAGTTCATGTTCTCCAAACTAAAATTATCGGTAGTAATAGCCTTCTTCAGATTCATATAGAAATAACAAATTCAGTTGGTATTTATTTTTGTCATCTAATGTTTATAACTGGATAAAGGTAACCTGTTGTCAATAAGTCACACACACAATGTTTAGTGATCTCTGAGGAATCTCAGGTGACTCTTAAAAGTAGATAGGAACAAGATCAGTTTTTTTGATATTTCTTTTTTAGTTATAGGTGGACACAATATCTTTATTTTATTTTATATGGTGCTGAGGATCGAACCCAGTGCCTCATGCATGCTAGGTGAGTGAGCACTCTAATTTGAGCCACAACCCCAGCACACAAGATCAGTTTTGACCAATTGCCCTTAAACACTTGGCAGAATATAGCTAAAGCATAGATTTACACACACACAAACACACACACACACACACACATAAACACACACACATATATCACTATATTTTAGCCATTAGCATATATATGATACTAAAATATATATGTATATATATATATCATATATATATCATATACATACACACACACATATGATTGTGGTGTGTGTGTGTGTTTCCATTAACCTTATAACTATGTAGACTCCCGTACTTAAGGTTCTCAAGAGGGGAATCCCATTTCTATTTTGGGCTTTGTATCACATTTTGGGAGATTGTCATACATTAATGTGAATAAAAGAGTATCACGGTGTGGTACATATATACAATGGTATATTACTCAGACATAAAGAAGAATTAAATTATGGCATTTGCTGATAAATGGATGGAACTGGAAATTATCATGTTAAGTGAGATAACCCAATCCTATAAAACCAAAGGCTGAATGTTCTCTCTGATATGTGGATGCTGACTCACAATAGGGAAGGAGGAGTGGAGGTTCCCAGAATTAGAAAGGGGGAATTAAGGGGAAGGGAGGGAGGGTAGGAATGGGAAAGATAGTAGAATGAATCAGACATAACTTTCCTATGTTCATATATGAATACACGACCAGTGAAACTCCACTTCCTCTACAACCACAAGAATGGGAAGTTATACTCTAGGTATGTATGATAGGTCAAAATACATTCTACTGTCATGTAAAACTAAAAAATAACAAATAAATAGAAGAGTATTTGGGGGCTAGGGAATGGCTCAATGGTAGAGTGCTTGCCTAGCATGCTCAAGCCCTGGGTTCCATCCCTAACACCACTAAAAAAGAGTATTACTTCCTGCCTTCACCCCTATTAAATTGAACTTTTGTATATTTTATTATTTGAAGCAGTTTGGCTGAAATCACATCTTTCTTTTAAATATCTGACCACTTTGGTACCAAACAGTCTGTATATTTGATAGTCCTCCAAACACAAATATTATTCTGCCTGACACTGATGGTACTTTGAACAGCCATTTTCTTGGGGTAGCAGGAGGAAGAGCTCATAGGGTTAGAACTAAAAGAGGATCCCAGCTTCTAAAGGAGGGATAAAAAAACCAAGGACATGAAGTAGCCCAGGCTATACCTGATGAAATCAATTGCCCACCTCTTGCCTTCAAGTTTGCTTCTTGGTGGTCCATGATGCCAGCTGAGGTTGTCATTACAACGAAACCAAATCGACAGCAATTTGTCCCCTAAAAAAATGATGGCTCGGGCTGGGGATGTGGCTCAAGCGGTAGCGCGCTGGCCTGGCATGCGTGCGGCCCGGGTTCGATCCTCAGCACCACATACCAACAAAGATGTTGTGTCCGCCGAGAACTAAAAAATAAATATTAAAAATTATCTCTCTCTCTCTCCTCTCTCACTCTCTCTTTAAAAAAAAAATGATGGCTCCTAGATGGGTGTGGTGGTACTGGCCCATAATCCCAGCTATTTGGGAAGTTAATGAAGGAGAATCACAAGTTTGGAGCTAGCCAAAAAAATATCAAAAAGAACCTGTCTTAAAACAAAATTAAAAAGGCTGAGGGTATAACCCTGTGGTAGAGTAGGCCTGGGTTTAATACCTAGTACTGGAAAAAAAGGGGGGGTACTAGGTACTATATATGTGGTGTGCATATGTAACAAATTACATTTTGTGAGGCAACCACAGGCCACACCCATCCCCACCCATCCACCCCCAGCCACACAGCCCCAACCCCTCAGAAACCTGTAGCCGCAGTACCTGACGGGTGGCAGCATCGGATTCAAGGGGCACTTTCTTTCATCAGGAGGCTTTTGACAAAATGGACATCAGGATGCCTAAAGGTGACCCCAAGAAACCAAAGGGCAAGATGTCTGCTTATGCCTATTTTGTTCAGACTTTCAGAAAAGAACATAAGAAGAAAAATCCAAAAGTTCCTGTCAATTTTGCAGAATTTTCCAAGAAGTGCTCTGAAAGATGGAAGACATTGTCCGGGAAAGAGAAATCTAAATTTGATGAAATGGCAAAGGCAGATAAAGTACGGTATGATCGGGAAATGAAGGATTATGGACCAGGTAAGCGAGGCAAGAAGGACCCTGATGCCCCCAAAAGACCACCGTCTGGATTCTTGATGTTCTGTTCAGAATTCCGCCCGAAGATCAAGTCCACACATCCTGGTATCTCTATCGGAGAAGTGGCGAAAAATCTGGGTGAGATGTGGAAAAATTTAAGTGACCGTGAAAAGCAGCCGTACATCACTAAGGCTGCAAAGCTGAAGGAGAAATACAAGAAGGATGTTGCTGACTACAAGTCAAAACGAAAGTTTGGTGGCACAAAGGGCCCCGCTAAAGATGCTGGGGAAATGGTAGAAGAAGATGATGAAAAGGAGGAGGAAGAGGAGGAAGAAGAGGAGGATGAATAAAAAAGCTGTTTATCCGTCTGCTTATGAATACCTTGGAGTATCGGAGCGCCGTCTGTGATTGACACATCTTATTTAAGATACGTCTGTTACTCTCTTTAGTTCAATTATAGAATTTGATCACAATCATATTGTAGTCTCTCAATATGCTCTAGAAATTGTCAGTGGTTTACAGGAAGTGGCCCTGGGCACCCTGAAACTATCAAAGTTGTATGTATTTCCAAACATTTTAAAAATATGTTCTCCTCACTCTGTACATTTTGCTGTTGGGGTGACAAAGTATTTGAATGTTTCTGGCATTTTTTTTTTAATTTGTAAGGTGGTGTTAACTATTTGGTTATTGGCTAGAAGCCCTTAGTTACAAATGTATATATCTATAGTTTGTAAAAAGAACAAAACAATTGAGACACTCTTGATGTCCCTTGCTTGGCTTTGAGGCTGTGGGGGAATATGCCTTTTGGAGGGGCTGTAGCTCAGGGTGTGCACTGTGAGGCTAAATCTGTTGACACTACAGTGGGCATCCATTTAGCTTCAGGTTATTTGTTTTTGTATATAGTGATATACCATTATGTTACCTTTCTTAGTGTGGAAAAGGGGAGGTCAGCTGGCATGAGAAGTGTTGAATTTTTTTATATTAAGTACAGGAAATTTTAAACTTTGTTTTCAAACAAACTGTCGAATTCTTCATTGTCAGCAAAGCAAAGAGCCACTGCATCAATGAAAGTTCAAGAACCTTCTGTACTTAAATACAATTTGCAATGTTATGTTATTTTTTGTATGTTTCCAATGCTGAAATGTTTTTTGAAGTTAAATAAACAGTATTTACATTTTTAAAAATTACCTTGTGTGAATATATGACAATGACTCCCATATGATTATGTATAATCATGATGCACTGAGAAAAAAAATTTACAGTGCACAAGGCCCTGGGTTTAATCCCCAGCACCACAAAAAAAGAAGAGGAGGAGGAGGAGAGGAAGAGGGGAGGGAGGAAAGGGGGAAGGGCAAGAAGGGGGAAGGGAAGGGAAGGAAAAGCCAAAAATTTAAGGTATAAAACTTCCAGGCTGAGGATATAGCTCATAGAGCACTTGACTAGAAAGCCCAGGCCTTGGGTTCAATCACCAGCACCAACACTACCAAAAAAGGTACAATTTTCCTTCCTAATACTTGTAGGGGCTGGGGTCTGGATCAGTGGTAGAGTACTTGCCTACCATGTATGAGGCCCTGGGTTCAATTCTCAGTACCATATATAAATAAATAAAATAAAGGTCCAATACTTGTCATTTTTTCTTTTTTTAAAATATTTTTTAGTTGTAGATGGACACAATATCTTTATTTCTTTTTATATGGTGCTGAGAATCAAACCCAGTGCCTCACATGTGCAAGGCAGGCACTCTACCACTGAGCTACAGCCCCAGCCCATCATTTTTTCAATGATTATTCGAATTATTAAAAATTAAGGGCTGGGGCTGGGGATGTAGCTCAAGTAGTAGCATGCTCCCCTGGCATGTGTTCGACCCGGGTTCAATCCTCAGCACCACATACAAACAAAGATGTTGTGTCTGCTAAAAACTAAAATGTAAATAAAATAAAATTAAGGGGCTGGGGTTGTGGCTTAGTGGTAGAGCATTTGCCTAGCACGTGCAGGACCCTGAGTTTGATCCTCAGCACCACATATAAATAAAATAAAAGTATCATATCCAACTACAACTAAAAAATAAATGTTAAAAAAAAGTTAAGGTACTGGGGTTGTTGCTCAGTGGTAGAGCACTTGCCTCACACACATGAAGCACTGGGTTCGATCCTCAACACCATATAAAATAAATAAAATTAAGATATTGTGTCCATCTACAACTAAAAAATATGTATTTTTAAAAAATCTAAAAATTTATGAGCTAGGAGGTAGTCCAGTGGTAGAGTGCTTGCCTAGCATGCATGAGGCCCTGGTTTCAATCCACAGCACACACACAAAAAGATTCTTACAAGGTATGTGACACACATCTGAAATACCAATGACAATGGAGGCTGAGGCAGGAGGAAGTTTGAAGCCAATGTCAGCAATTTAGCAAGACCCTGTGTGAACACAAAAATTAAAAAGGACTGGGGCCAGGTACAGTGGTACATGCCTGTAATCCCAGTAGCTCAGGAGGCTGAACCAGGAGGATCACGAGTTCAAAGCCAGCTTCAGCAACTGTGAGGCACTAAGCAACTCAGTGAGACCTTGTCTCTAAATAAAATTAAAAATAGGGCTGGGGATGTGACTCAGTAGGTGAGTGCCCCTGAGTTCAATCCCTGGTACCCACCCATCTCCCCCAAAAAAGGATGAGGATGTAGCTTAGTGGTAGAGTACTACTGGGTTCAATCTTTAGTACTAGAACAAAAATGATTCTTAGAGCTGAATTATCCTAAGATTTTGGCAGGACTAGTAAAGTCTAAAAAATTGACATGGTGTTCTTCAGAATTTTAAAAAAATCTTGTTTTTTTGTAAATCTTCTTTTCTTTCTTTTTTGTGTGCTTCTCTCATTCTTACCATTTAATCTCATGTTTCTTCCTTTCCCTGTGCTTTCAAATGCATCCTTATTAGAAAATTTCACTTCATGGAAATATTAACAATACAAAGTGGTTTTTCATTTGTTTGTTTATAATGCTGGGAATGGAATCCAGGATCTCCAGCATGCTAGGCAAGTGCTCTACCACTGAGCTATATCCCCAGCCCTGAACTACTTATTAAAATCCATGTTAGTGGCTCAAGAGGCTGAGGCAGGAGGATTGCAAGTTCAAAGCCAGCGTTAGCAATTTGGGGAGGCCTTGGGCAACTCAGCGAAACCCTGTCTCAAAAATAAAAAATAAAAAAAATAAAAAGGCCTGGGGATGTGGCTCAATGTTAAGTGCCTCTGGGTTCAATCCCCAGTACTCCCCCCAAAAAAATCCAGTTTAATTTAAAAACTGAGGATAAGAATCTGAATTTAACTTGCCTGCAGTATAGAAGATATAAACAGTTAATCTTGTGTTAAAAGAAATTTAAATGTATCAGGCGTGGTGGTACATACCATAATCCCCAGCAACTCCGAAGGCTGAGATAGGAAGATCACAAGTTTGAGGCCAGCCTCAACAACTTAGCAAGGTCCTCAACAACTTTTGGAGAACCTATCTCAAAATGAAAAATAAAAAGGTTTTGGGATGTGACTCATGGTAAAATGCCTCTGGGTTAAATCTCTAGTACAAAAAGAAAGAAAGAAAGAAAGAAAGAAAGAAATTTAGATGTTTGGCTCATAATATTGATTTAAATATAAGTCTCTGGCAACAGAGAACTGTTTTGTTTATAGCTCTTGAAGGTTTACAAAAAATTACTATGAATGCACAGCAACTGTACAAAGGACAAATGAGGGAATGCAAAGGACCTCTAAATTGAAATTACCTATGAATAGAATAATCTTATACATTTAATTTCTTTTTTTCCCCATTAGTACTGGGGATTGAATTCAGGGGTGCTTTACCACTCAGCTACATCTCCAACCCTTTTTATTTTTTATTTTGAGACAGGGTTTTGCTAAATTGCTTAGGGTCTCAGTCAAATTGCTGAGGCTCTCCTTGAACTTGGGATCCTCCTGCTTCAGCTTTCTAAGTCGATGGGATTATAGGTATGTGCCACTATACCTGGCTATAGCCAAAGACTTTTGTGCAAGTCTATGAAATGGCTTATCTATAGTTTAGAAGAGGATCCTCCATGATGGAGCAAGCCACCATGGATGTTTTCTGTCATCTGTCACCCCTGGTTCAGTGTAGTCCCATGGGAGGAAGTCTGTGAGGAGTAAAACAATACTGACATTGCTTTTACTGTCTGTACATAATAAATTCTCGTGGGCTTATTGTCTGCATACCAGCTAAATCTATGGAAATGTGATGAACCAAATTTAACTGCACTGGTGCTTAGGGATTGCTTGACAGTTTGACAAATGGGCACTCGACCTGGAGCCAAGCAAGGCCACAATGCCTTTTTGGAGAACAACAGAGGAACTGTACAGACCAACTTCAGGGATATGAGGAGACCCCTTGGAATCCCATAGCTCATCCTTTTTCTCTTTTCAGGTCACTGCCCCATGTAAAAAGCATGCATGGGGAGCTCTCCATGCTATTCATCACCAGTCAAGATTCAGTGCAAGTGACTCTACCCTCTGACTCCCAAAGCTTTCACATCGTGGATGATGTCCTGTGGATTGGCTAGTCAAAAGCCTCAGTCTGGCTTTATCTCAGCTCTACCAGCAGGGGTAGCTGATCAATCCCAACAAATCCAGAGTCTTGCTCACCAAGCAGTTTCTCATATCTATGTGAGTGAATTCACAACATTCAGGCCTTCTGCAAGTCAAGAGAAAAAAAAAAGCTATCTCTTACAAAATAGAGGATTCTGTTTCTGTTACAGAAACCACCATTGCAGGGGCTGGGGATGTGGCTCAAGAAGTAGTGCTCTCGCCTGGCATGCGGGCAGCCCGGGTTCGATCCTCAGCACCACACACAAAGATGTTGTGTCCACCGAAAACTAAAAAATATTAAAAAAATTTTTTTTTAAAAAGAAACCACCATTGCATGCCAGACCTGCAACTTCTGTCAAGACCTGGCCCAGGGGTGGGTCTTGTGAGTCCTGGTTACATAGGACATTGGCCCCCTTTGCTCGTAATAAATGGACTATATTGGATGGTTATGTCCTATTGGCTAATCTGTGGTACCTCACCACAGTTGATGCTTATTCAAACCGTGCCATGGCTTATTTGACCAATACACATCCAATGCTTTAAATTGATGATGCTTAAAGTATGGTAAGAATAGATATTTTAGCACATGTAGCACTTCCCCCTGATTATATAGAATGTTCTCAAAGAAGAAATGCCACAATTAAAATAGTGGCAATAGGATAAGACTCAAACAGGAGCCCACTTAGCTTCCTCAACTCAGCCACATGAAAATAATGGATGAGGGAGGGTGGGATCATTGTTTTAGCCAGGCATGGTGGTGCATACCTGTAACTCCAGCAGCAGGAGGATTCCAAGTTTGGGGTCAGCCTCAGCAAGTTAGACAGGTCTTAAGCAACTTAGCAAGATCCTGTTTCAAGGGGCTGGGGATGTGGCTCAAGC